CAAGTTCTTTGTGCTTTTCATCTAAGTCACAATACTTTTTTTTGATAGCAATATTTTCTTTCTTTGTGATAGCATGGTCCCCTTGTTCCCTGGCCAAGGCCTTGCGCAAGGATTCTACCTTACTTCTCTCTAATGCAAGAGCTTCCTTGCTAGCAATATAGAGATCCTCTTGTTAGATAAGAGTTTCCTCTCTAGATTCTAGCTCGGCTTGGACACTCTCTAAGTCCTCCATTAGCTTAGTGATGAATAATTTGGTCTTTTCATCCAAATTTTTCGTTATCATATTTATTTCTTCATCACTAGATTCACCATCACTAGAGCTATCACTAAGATCACTACTAGAGATATCACTAGGAGGTGGAGGTGGAGGAGCTTTGGCCTTGGATTTAGATTTTACCTTCTCACCCTTTGCCATAAGACAAATGTAAGGGGAGTTGTAGTCATCATCGGACATGTTGGTGAAGAGTCTTGGTGAAGAAGATGGTTCATGGATAGAAATGGTTGCAACTTTCTCATCTTCATTTGAGCTTCTAATAGATGAATCCCATTCATGCCCAATGTGAGCTTCTCCCAAGTTTTTCTTGCTCTTTCTCCTATCGGCCTTGTCCTCCTTCTTCTCTTTCTTATGCTTGTTCTCCTTGATCTCATATGGACACTTGGCAATGAAGTGATCGGTACTTCCATAATTATAGCATGTCCTCCTTTTCTTGTTTGGGAAGCTTCTCTTCACTACCTTGTAGCTTTGCTTCTTTAGCCCCTTGTGATACCTCCTCATAAAGAGAGCAACATCATCCACTTTCTCGTATTGGTCATCATCATGTTCACTCTCACTAGAGGATAAGGTGGTCTCTACTCTTTCTTGAACTTGCTTGCTTGCTTTGGGCTTGCTAGTTGAAGCTTGCTTGTTGGTCTTGGACTTGCTAGTAGAGCCTTGCTTGCTTGATTTGTTGGCCTTGAGAGCTACATCCTTGTTGATCTTGATGCCTTCTAGCTTTGCTTGCAATTCTCTAAGCTTCTTTCTCTCATTTACTTCTTCTCTTTGCATATCAAAGGTCAAGATCCTCTCAAGTACATCATTGGGTGTGAAGTACTCAAACTTCTTCTTGTCTCTAATTAAAGTGACTACGGTCTCATTTCTAGGTGAATAAGCTTCCAACATAATCTTGACAACTTTATGATCATCTAGCTCATCACAACCATAGCCTCTAATCTTGCCCACCATTGTCATCAACCTATCAAACATCTCTTGTGGCCCTTCTCCATCTAAGATAACAAATCGATTGAGCTTGGACATCAACAAATCAATTCTTGCCTTTCTCACTTTGTCAACTCCTTCATGCGCAAGATGCAAAGTATCCCTAATTTGCTTGGCAACATCCGCACCAATCACTCTATTGTACTTATTACCATCCAAGGCACTAAGTAGCACACTAGTAGCTTCACCGTTGAGGTGGATGATTCTCATTTCTTCCATGGTTGGATTCTTGGGATCAACAGGTGGCTCAAATCCATTGCAAACAACCTCCCAAATTTCGGGATCAAGACCTATAAGATAGGATCTCATTAAGTGTTTCCACCTAGCAAAGTTAGTCCCATCGAAATGAGGAAACTTACCCGCGGGCACATTGATGAAGGACTTGCGATCATGGTTAGTCATAGACATAGAAGAATAGTTAAAGGATACGACGGCATATTTGTTGTCGTCGTTCTTCTTGCCCTTTCCTTTCTTGTCCTTCTTGTTCCTTCTTCTTTCTTGCTTCTCGTCTTTTTCTTCTAGCTTCTCTCTTAAGTCTTCTTTCTTCTTTTCTTGCTTTCTTCTCTTCTAACCGCTGCCGCTCCTTCTTCTTCTTCTCTCTTGCTTCTCTTTTCTCTTTTCTAGCTGCTCTTTTTCTTCTTCTTTCTTCTTCATTTTGAGCTTTTTCAACATCGGTTGCCTCTAGCTGCGGGAGCGTGGAGTTGCTTGTTGTAGAGGCGCTAAGCTCACTGCTGTCGGTGTCATGCAGCCCAACGTCCTCGACGTTGATGGCTTCACAACACCGGATCCTCCCCCGGGCTCCATACCTCACGCGGTGAAGTGCACACGAGATAACCTAGCTCTGATACCACTTGTAGGATCTCTGATACGCCCAGAGAGGGGGTGAATAGGCCTATAAAAATTCAACTTAAACCGAAGTCAAATTCACCCACGGCATTGCCACTCTATAAGCGCAGCACTACCGCACCTGCAGGAGAGATTAGTTTATAGTTCAAAATCTACCCAACGAAATTTGGATCGGGTATTTTTCTTAGCTTCCTGCAGGGTAATAGATCGCAGATCGACAGCTGAAAGTGGTGGAAACACCACACACAAGTAGATCGGCCTCAATCCTAGAAATCACCTCAACAATCACAAAAACACAAGTGTAGCAACACAAGCACAAGATGACACAAGGATTTATCTCGTGGTTCAGCTCGCCACCAAGGCTTGCCTATGTCCACGTTGTTGAGGTTGCTAGAAAGGCTTTGGGTCTCTTTCAACCCTTTTCTCATTATCAAGTCAAGAGAATGAACTCTTAAGATGAGGGGTAATTTTACTTGCTGCAAGAGATGGTTACAAACCTCTTGGGGCTACCACACAAGTTGGCAAGCTCCACGGGCGACGCTCTAGCCGGCTAGGAGACAAGCTCCAAGAGTAACAAACACAACCGCTGGCTAAGACATGAACCAAGTGCTCTTTAGAGTTTAGGAATCAATGGAGCTGCTCTCTATTTGAGTTTTTGACCCTTTTTCCTCAAGGATTGATAGAGAAATCAATGGATTTACCTGGGGCTTGAGGTCAACAATGGAGTGTGAGAGAGAGCTCTTGCTCTGTTTTGGAGTGTTGAAGTGAGGAAGAAGAGAGCAGGTTGGTTCGTTCATCGGTACCCGTTAGAGAGGAAGGGGAAAGATATATATATACCTCCCGAGCCCCCAACGGTCACTTTAATTGTAGATAGCCGTTGGGGAGAAAAGGAAAAGGTATATATACCTCCAGCCCTCAAGGGACACTGCACCCAAGAGGTCAGACGAGACGAGGCCACGACCAAAGGGTTGGGTGAGCTGAAGCCCACGACCTTGGGGTCGGGCGAGACAGAGCTCACGACCAAAGGGTCAAGCGAACCGGAGCCCGCGACGTTGGGGTCGGGCGAGATGGAGCCCGCGACCAAAGGGTCGGGTGAGCCAGAGCTCGCACCCAAGGGGTCAGGCGAGTTGGAGCTCACGCTCAAGGGGTCGGGCGAGTCGTAGTTCTCACCCAAGGGGTCGGGCAAATCGTAGTTCGCGCCCCGCAAGACAGCAAATGATAATAGTGAAGTGTAGACTGTCTTGGCTATGAATCTGAGAATGCTCGTGGTTGTTTGAGCACTTGGTAGTACGGATTAACTTAAGCATTGTGCCACCCTTTATACTACGGCTTTCCTATACTCAAATTCAATATATGAACGAATTTAAAACTCCTTTGAGTTTGGAGCCATCTATATTTGTAGTTGGGGACTCCTTTGTTCCATGTGGCATCCTCGAATACAAATTTCCTGCTTGTCATCTCGATAAATCTTATTAGTTCTCTAATTGTGTTGTCATTATCACCAAAACCCATAATTAAAGGCTTGATTGCACTTTCAGTTTCTAAATAAAAAAACCAACTCGTCCACGTACTCGTTTCTATCCACTCACTTGCTCCTATCCGCTCGCCCGCCGCTTCTAGTGCTCGGCCGCTGGCCTAGCCAGGCGCGGCTCGTGACCGCCTTCGAGGCGCAGGGCTCGGCTGCCAACCCTGCCAAGCCACTCCGGCGCGCCGACGCCGCCATCCTCCGCGGCGTCTCCATCCCCTGCCGCGCCAAGCCCATCCTCCGCCGTGCCCAGCGTGTGCTGACCCACGCCGCGGAATAGGTGCTCGTCCAGGGGTGCTCGTGCACCTCACGCAGGTGCTCACCTAGGATGTCCGGGCGGTAGACTGACCGTGGCTTTTCTTTTCTTCTTTTGATTTAGGTATGGACGAACGATGATCCTTTTTACCAGAGAAGACTACTGTTTGGATACGCCATGGCCCATGGCCCCTGTACAGACTTTCCCATCGGGGCCCATGTGAAGCCCGCATGAAAAATGCTCGATAACAATTTGACAGATGTAGGATCCACCATTTTCCGAAAAATTGGCATCCGTTGTATATGAACATGCGTTAACAAAAGATGACAGTCCAAGGAAATACCTGTTCGGCAGGACTTATTACTGCTGCGATTGATTTGTAGGGCTGATTTGTTGTGAGAGAAAAATATGTTTTCATAGCTAAAAAGTAGGACTGATTTTGGTCGATAAGCTCTAGCGAAGGCCTTCGGGGAGCTGGATCCGCCAATTTATTTAAGCTACAACTACTGCATGCAGCGAAGAAAGATGAAAACACCTGACCAGCCAAAAACTACTAGAGTTCATCAACAACAACCCCTCCCCCCTCTCCACACACACACCCACCCACCCAGCCCAGACACACACACACAAGTTACTATTTCCTTTCATTTGCAACTATACACGAGATTTAGACGAAAGCATATCAGCAGTGGACAGTTAGTTGTGAACTCAGGCACTGCTTCGATGTAAACAGACTTGTTGATCCTCCACGATGTTCACAAGTTATTTTTTCCTTTCCTGCTTCGATGAACTCAGGCACTGCCCCACAAGGAAATATGTTCACATCGTGGAAACATTTTTTTTTAACGCAACATCGATGTTTCGGTACCGAGAAAATTGTTGCCTGGTACCATCTGAAGCTTATCATTCAGATGAATTTTTCGCCATCATCTTGTTAAGTTGCAGCATATGGTAGCAACCCTCATGTACTCCGCTGGCCGTTGCTGCTACATTCTGAACTTGCTCCAGTGCTTCGTGCCATGGACTAGGCTGTAGGCTCCAACAAACTCAGGAGCTAACTAAGGCACAACAGAGCTGATGGAACTCTGCTTCCTAATACGCAGCTGTACTCAAATATTTCAGTCACTGGCTTCTGAATGCATTATGAAGCTCGGAAATGACATGGTAATGTCCCTGAACAATCAACAATAATTTCAAAAGTAATCAGTTTTTTTTTGAAAGGAAAGATAACATGAAAAGGAAAGGAGAGGAATAACAACGTTTCCTAGGGAAGATGCGCTACTCACTGCAAATAGGGGAGAGACATGTTTCTTAATGTTGCCGGGTTCTTCTTCACAAATTCCTCCCATTCTTCAGGATCTATCCTGCCGTCCCCATTTGAGTCCGCTTGACTGAATGTCTGCACTCCAATCCAAACAGAGCAGCACATAGAATAAAAATGAGATCTTTGCAAACAAACACCTGATGACTAGCAGAGTAGCAGTAAATCAATTACATTATCGACAATCGTCTCGACAGTGCTATCTGAAAGGCAGAGATCAGACTCATCAAGCAGTGCCAAGACCATCTCTCTGAGCTGTGTTTCTCAAAGAACAAAATTGATATTTAATCAGAATCAAACAGGTGCAGTTTAGACAAGCACTAGGACTTGCAGAGTGATTAAGGCATGAACCCTGGCTGCTTTGTTTTTTTTTTTCGGAAAACAGATGAGAATGCATGATCGATCACCTCTTCTTTCTCGATGTAACCTGTCCCCCTTAGATCATACAGCTTGAACGCGACTGCATAGAGGATGAGAAACCCAAATCAAACATGTCAATTCCTTCTTTCTCCATGTAACCATTAGAGACGCAGGAATTGTACAGGAATTTCACATGAAAAAGCAATCAAGATTAAGGAAAAAATTCTCCCGTTCCAAGCAGATCCTAACGCATGAGAAGACGATGAATGAACATACACGCTGTCTTCTCCGATATATGTGCTTTAGGGTGGAATACACTGAGCGACCGCACGAATTCCTCGAAATCGATGACTCCGTTCCGTTTGAGATCGAACAGATCGAAGACCTGTCACAGTAAACACGAACCGAGTTAATTAATGAAGAGAAGTGCGTTTGCGCTCGTTGGACTGGAGGAGGCACAGACGAAAGTTTCCTCATGTAACTGTGTAAGGCCGAAAATGGGCAGGAGACGCTTACCCGGTCTGCAAAGAGGTTCGCTCTGTTGCTGTTCCTGAACAAGGCGAGCTGAAACTCCTCCTGACCGACCAAACCAACACGACACAGACTCCAATTCATCAGCGGCGCAATCTATCAGAAACTAGGGAATGGAATGGAGTGGAGATGGATCCATGTATCGGTCGACCCCCCACCTTGTGGATGAGCCCGTCTTTGACGATGGAGAAGCTGAGCTTCTTGTACAGCTTGTACAGCGCCTCCACCCCGTTCACCGTGACTGCCACACAAGCAACCACAACAACCGCAGCAGCCGGGGTCAGTCAGCGTCACGCAATCGGCAGCGGCGCCGTCGTTGCCGGTGTGAGAAGGGGGGAGAGATGACATGAGATGCTCACATGAGGTCTGGGACGCCAGCACGGCCGGATCCTCGTGCACCGGCGCGCTCCTGCTGAACTGCTTGGACGACGCGCAGCCCATCGCGCCGGCGTGCAGCCGCTCGATCGGGACGCGACACGCTGAGTGTGCCTGTGCGACGGCCGGCCCACGCAGCGAGGCTATGCAGCCGCCGACCGTTCGAGAGGTAAGAGATTCGGTAGGCCGGCGACGGCGAGGAGACCTTGCAACTTGGTGCGCGCGCCGAGGAAGTCGCGTGTTCTCGCGCCACGACACACCACTAGCGCGCGCGCTGTCTCCCACGCGTCCCGTGTCCACGCCTCTCCTTTTGTCTGTCTCCCTGGTTGGAGTCGCGCGTCCGCGATCTTTGTAGCGAAGCGACTCCCGGCCCGTCTGCCGACTGCCGGCTGCGGCGTCGTGGTCAGAGATAGGATGCGCCCCAAAAAAAAAAAAAAAAAAAACAAAGGCTTTTCTTGCGGCGCTCACGCACAGTTGGCGATGCCGTGGACCCTTGGGCCTTGGCGACAGGTGCGCCGAACCGAACCCGGAGCGATGGTGTGAGCGCAGAGGGGCCGCGGATGCATCGAAGTTAGCCAGCTAACTGCTCACAAGCATTTCACAAAACACCTTTATGCATACTTGAAAAAAAAGTCCCATAGTGTCAATTCTCCGTACATGGTGCTGTTCAAACTTCACAATAAGAAATACACTTGTAAAGATCAGCTCACTAACACATCAATCCCATTATCAACATATCAAAGAACCCATATATACCTCATATGCCAACTCGACATACACTATGAACTTGAACAAAATGGCACAAATAGTAAGTAAGATGGGAACCAATCAACAAGTATGGCAAGATAAATACCAAATCACAGGTAGACACAAGGATTTACATGGAATCCCCTTGCGGGAAAAAACCACGGACGGCGACAACCAAGCAATCCACTATGAAGATGAAGGATACAAGAGGTGAAAGCCAAAAAGGTTGGGAAGGCTCCAAATCCCCACAAATTTCACTCTTCTAGTGGTGGATTTGGTAGATAAAGCCCCACCTCTCCTCTCTCAAACTCTAGCTCTCTCCCTTCAAAACCAAATGAACAAGCCACTAAAGAGAAGGGGAGCTCGGGTAGCCCTTTTGGGCTGGTTTGGGCACCTTTTGGAAGGCCCCCCAAAGTTATAGTTTATCCCAAATAAGTCCCTAGACACCTAACCAAACATATAAGCAATATTTTCCATAATCTAAATGCTCAAATGAGACTCCAAATAGTGTCATGCGAGCTGTGACATCACAGATGGGACTCCCGGAAGATGAGATGAGCCTCGAGGGCATGGCAGTCGGCAAGAGGCACCGCCACACGGTGAGAAGGGAAATCGGGAGTGAGATCATCTGCAGTTAGCCAAAGAACTTCTCTCTATGGTTGCTGGAAATATGGTCGCCCATTCCTATCTAACGGTGACCAAAGCATATACAGATGCCCCCCTCAGCTCGCTGGGCCTGGCCCAATATCACATAGCCTTTCACGTACTAGAGACTCGGTATTTTATTTCCTAGCGTGGCTGCTCGCCACTTTTGGCGTTGGGACTACGTTTTTGGCGCGAAAGGGCGTGCGGCGGCGATCGGACTATGCTGCTATGGTGCTCTCCATCATTAAGCAGGTGAATCTCCCATACATGAAGTAGAAGAGGAGTGCCGACACCAACGGCGAGCACACCACGCCTGCGAGGGCTGCATCGTCGGCCCGGTGCCGTGCATGACGAGGAAGGGAGCCCCGCGATGATTTGGTGATGCGCCTGGCGAGGATGGGGCCGCCGCGCTGACCTACTGCCTGCAATGGCGAGGATGGTGCCGCGGCGCCGACCTGCTACCTGCAGAGGAAACGACCGCCCCGCTTTGCCCACTTCGTTGCGCTTGCAGAGGACGGATGCGCCAGATCCGGTGTCGCACCTAATGAAGATGGGAGGACTGGAGGAGTGGGCGCTCTGGTGACGCTCCTGGCGGAGTAGCCGCGACGCCGTGTAGCCTGGGGAACGAGAAACTGCGACGAAGGTTGGAGTCAGGAGGGGAAAGTGCTGTGCGGGATGGTCGGATGGGCTGATATGGGCCTGTTGGAGGCTTGGTAGTTTAGTTTCTCTGGAGCTCACCCTTAGATCCGATATCAACGGCTTGGATGAAGAACTGCAGAGACAAGTCCTCCAGCTCAACTGTAGACGATCTCGTTCCAGAAATTGGGTTGGACACTGGAGCGTGTGGGCTACTGTGTTTGAAGCATTTTCTCTGAGTATCATAGTAGACGACCATCTGAGGACTGCTTGCTTTAATAAATAAAAGCTTTTGGGTCGTCAATGTCAAACTTGGCAGATCATCTGCACAACAGACGCACACACGCACACCACTTGAAATGCCGGAAAGTCGTTGGCCCTGTTCGCTTTACTCAAAAGCCATAGCTGAAAGTACTGTTTGTTTCAATTTGTGAGGGGAGTGGACGCAAAATCATATCTGACTCAGAGAGACTGTGCATGGCTGCCGGGCGACAGCCATGACGACTTTAGGGACTGCTTGAATGAATCTTTTACCTATCGTTATTTTGTCTTGTGAAGCTAGAAATGGTGTCAATGGGAGCTACGACATCACAATTCTTCACCTCAGCGACGATTGGACCATAGAGCAAACACACCAAAATTCTTGATGTCAAAAGTCGAATCTTCAAATCAATAAGCAACAAATTCATCGCCTCCAACATGGAGATAGCTCTGTTTGACTTGGCAAATGATTGAGCCACAAAAAAATGCATCAGTGAACTCTGATGAGTGAACAACATGGCAAACACACCCATGATCATGATGCCAAATGCTTAAATCTCCAACTCCAAGTCAAATGCACAAACAAAAAACCTCCAACAAACGCTTCACAAGAAGCTACCAAATCGAGCAAGCAAGAATAACTAGGAAGTCCAAATGACATCTCACCAAATCCAGATGAACAAAACTGAGTCTTCAACAAAGTCTAACCCCCAGCAAATATCTGAACATGTACAACTGACCTCCTAACCTAAGTCTGAACAAATTGCTCGATCACCAAAGGATATGCCAAGAAATCACCTGAGGTATTGAACAAATAGTGAAGAATGCAAAACCCTGCTCTCCAAGTGTGCTTCACCTGAAACACATAACTCAGCAACCAACACTCACCGAATGAGCAACTTGCACACGTGAATACCGAATACCACTATGTGCACCAAACTGCCGATTAATGAAAGTAATAACATTTACATCTGCTCCTCCAAGAAACTTGAGTGAAAGGAACTATCAAAAGTATAGCCAATTTAGTACCAACAAATTCTGGACTGGATCTCACACAAACAAGTGCAACCATAGTGTATTGCCATCTGTAATACCAAACGTTGACCTCAATTTGGACTTAATGATCCATGCAGAGACCAAATTCCATGATGCACCAAAATCCTTCAGCTCAGACTCAAATAGGAGCTCAACTTTCACTTCCTCATAAATAATTCAGAGTGGTATAGATGAGCTGCAACCAAGATGTCATTCTAACAAAACAACTAAATATGAAAAACCATCTAAACTGCCTCAAGATGAATAAACTTGCAACGGGCTCTTGAACAAATGAACCAAATCCAGTGTAACAGTGCCACAAAAGAAGATGCATCTAGCCCACATAGCAATCACCAAATGACAAACAATGTCCACTTAACAAATGCCAATGCTAGCGACAAACTGTAGATCTAAACAACTAATAGGGGTCCCAACACAAGCAATCTCAAATAGCCAATTGCTCCAACTGAATATCAACTGCCAAAAGCAAACTGACAACAACAAACAAAACTTTAAACTGGAAGAACTCCATACAACCTGAGAGAATACCTGATGGTAACCAAATCCCTCGAACAGATTGAAGTCACAAAGAGAGCTTCATAATGGAGATACACTTGAGAACCGACCAACACCTCCAAAGGACTAAAGGAGATAATGCCTCAAGTAACACCAACATCTCCACCCAACTGAAGCAACCAAAGAACTTCACGAATGAGAGATACCAACAAATGGGCAAACCTCTCATAACAGATTGAAGTCTTTCAAATCAACAAGTCTTGGATAAAGGAGCAACAACATATTAGCTTGCAAACCAATAGACCCAACTGCAATATACAAAGCGCATCTCTTCCATGATGAACAACACTAGAAATCAAATATTCTCTTATGCATTCTCGAGCCCAAGTGAAAGCTCTAGTTTGGTTTTGGTGAATTGATAAAACCCTAAGTGCTAACCTAGTTTATCAAAGTGATCATGAGATAGGTAGTACATTCCAAGTGGTGAAGCAAAAGAAGATCATGACATGATGATGGTGATGCCATGGTGATGATCAAGTGCTTGGACTTGGAAAAGAAGAAAGAGAAAAACAAAAGGCTCAAGGCAAAGGTATAAGTGGTAGGAGCCATTTTGTTTTGGTGATCAAGACACTTAGCGAGTGTGATCACGTTTAGGTTCGATAGCCGTACTATTAAGAGGGGTGAAATTCGTATCGAAATGCAGTTATCAACAAAGTGCCACTAGATGCTCTAACTCATCGCATATGCATTTAGGATCTAGTTGAGTGGCTAATCCTTTGAAAATGATTGTGAAAATGCTAACATACATACACATGGTGGTGTACACTTGGTGGTGTTGGCACATTTACAAAGGAGATGAAGTTGGAGTTGATGTGGATCAACTCGGCAATGAAATGAAGGCAAGAAGAGGTCACTATAACTGACCAGACGCTGGCCTCAACTAGAATGGCGCGTCCGGTCAATGGAAGCAGTGTAGGCACTGGCGTCGGTCTTCGATCAGACGCTGGTCACGTAGTGACTAGACTCTGGAGAGCAGCGTCCGGTCAATTATAAAAGAAGATGGTACTCTCGGCCTGAGGCCGGACGTAGGCGACCGGACTCTGGCTAAAAACTATTCAACGTCCGGTCCTGCTGATATGGCGGCACACAGAGGAGATGGTGAGTGACCGTACGCTGGGTGAGTCTGGTCGGGCATGACCGGACACGTCTGGTCGCAAATTTCTACC